GCTATCGAATTGTGATGGATCTAAGTAATTGGCTATAGCTCCTGAGGAAAGCAAAATCGCTCGACAAAATATATATTATTCTGAATGAGGAGATCCAGTTGGATCGACCGATGCAAAAAAACCCACACGTTACTGTGCAAGCTTGAGAAGACGGTAGCCTTGAATGTGGCACCCGATTCAGAAAAACATAGTTTTGTTGATCAATTCTGCTCATTTGAGATGTAGCGAATTTCTTTATGCTATCGCCAGGCTATAGGAGTGCTATCTTCAAGTCTACCGTACTATCAGATTTGCCCAGTAACATGTGAATTTCTTTGTGCTATTCGATCCAGCAGAGTCTGTTCATTGAAAAAAAAACATAACTACTGCTGAGCAATTCTGCTCAATTGCTGAGATACTACTATTTACTTCAGGCTATCTGAACCAGCATTAAGGATGCTCTGAGGTTTGCTGAGAAGATTAGCTATTTCTGTGCATCGTTCGGTTCCGCCGATAGAAGTCATAACCCATATGGCAGCTATGAGGAAGTGTCGCGATGCCAATAGAGTTGATCACTCAAGTTTGAGGTTTCCGGAACGTTGCATACGTGTTTCCCCCATTTAATCATAACATGTTCTCATACATCAAAGGGTGTTTTGCATCTAAAACATTATCCCGAATCAATCATTGTGTCAGAAGAGAAATGCCGATCCGCCCTGAGCCTTTCGATTATTCGTTGAGGGCGGATCGATGCATGGGCTTGCATTTTAAGTTGGAGATTTTGATGTACCGTGAAGTGAATGAAACAAGTGGGATGATTTTATTAATCGCTTTTAGTTGCTGCTTGCTGTATGGTCATCTTACCAATAACGATTATTAGTAAAAATTAGTTTATCAGTAACTAATCATTTGATCATGTCAACCGATTGTCTTGTTCCTTTTAGTTGTTGCTCATTATCAGTTTACATTAAGATCTCATCTTTTATTATTCATTGCTGAATGCAATTTTTGAAGAACAAATCGATCAAGTTGTTTTTCAGGTATGTAACTAAACTTTGTTGTTTTTATAGCAATAATTGCGTAGCTGTTATCATTGATAGGTGATACATGCGAAGCATTTCTGTTAAATGTTTTTGTGCGAGTGGATGGTTTGCTTGCATGCCTAACCACTTTTATTGAGATCAGTCGATGAGTGAAGAACTATTTCGATAAGGAGCTGTCCTTATTAGTCTGATAAGGAGTTATCATTATTATCGGCATCCTTATCGACTTCAGCGTATTTCGAATTTCGAGTTATCCCACGATTTGATAGGTGCAGTTCAGTTATATCATGTAAACATTGAGCTATGTCCTACTCCTTCCGAATAGTAGCTTTAAGAATACACGATCCTAATCTGTCAATCAGTCGAGTAGGTTGAATAGTATATTTATAAAGTTTAAGAATGAGAGTCGATTGGTGACATCCATTTATTCAATAATATTAATCATGCTCAGCAAACGATTTTCAATAGCCGACTTCTGACCATTACTGGAGTATAGGTGAACGAATAAATTTAAAATGTGTGTGCTTAGATATATCATTAAACGTACAAAGTAAATACATCACCTTCATTCAATACTAACCCCTCTATCTCAATTCATCATTTGCTATTGGGTTTTTAGTTTCTATGCGATGTGAGAAGCCAGTTTCAGAGCATTTTTCAAAGAGACATATCTTATGAATGTTGTTCATCCGTTTAGAATGCATCTTTATCGCATGTTCATTCCAGTTTATCTGCACCACACAAATAACAGCCTGAATAGATCTTTGATGTTACTCTTATTACTATTATTAATAAGATATATATGTGGTTGTTTTTGCTATGCTTAGTAATTCTGCGATTATGAGTGAGGTATGAGATAAGATGTTTATATTATAACAATATCTCATTGAAAATATTTGTGATAGTAAATTATGAGTGGATTGAAGTTAATTTGAAGTGAACATTGTGTTGTGCATTCTTTGAGGCTGAGCATTGTCCTAGGGTGTTTTTATGGGTGAAGTGACGAAATCATGGATTGAATGGTGGAAGAATGGACTTTCCAAGGAGTTTCCTTGTTGCTATTGTTATTGTTAATATAATTATTGTTGTTGGTGCTTATTTATTGTTACATCGTACGATTATTATTAATATTATCATTGTTACTGTTCGTCTTGGGTATTTAGAGCAACAATGAGGAACATATAATTGGAATCATTTGAGTCTGAATCATCTGGATTGAAGAGATGTCGACGATAATGAGATTTTGAATGCAGCAATGGGATTTCGATGCACATGGTCGGTAGTTTTGCTGGGAGAGCTTATATTCTACTGGCAATTGTGTTTATTACACTGATTAGCATTTGGAAAGGTTGGCTTTGATTGTTTGTGGGAAAATGAGGTGATTTTGTATATTAACTTGACTAGAGTGAGCAGAGTTAATTTCATGCAATGTTGTTGGAGGAATTTGATTTTGTGGTTGTTGAACTTATGGGAATTGAAATTGATTGGGTTCGATTTTGTTACATTTCATTTCAGTGAATTCGTTGATGTGTTTCGAAGGAGTGAATTGTGATTTGGCTGAATGTGAGCAATGTGAGGGCGCTGCTTGTATTCGAATCATTAGGTACGATTGGACTAGAGATGCATTGGTGCCGATTATTCATTCGATTTTGAGGATATTAGTGATAATTGAGAGTGTATGATATGAATTATGAGCTATAATTGTTATAATAATGGTAGTAATGCTGATAGTAACAATACTCAGTTTTATTTAATTTGTTCAATGATAGAAGAAATGATCATAGCCATTAATGAACAATGCGGAAAAGCGTTGAATGAATTTGATGTTTCGACGAAGCATTATCGATTATCATGACAATATTTGGTCATGTTTCATGATGGGGGGTCGAACAGGTCAATTCAGAGTTGCAAAAATTAAATTCTTCAGAATGGAATAAATCCATAGAATAATTTTGCCGGTTGGGGACTTTTGGGATTTTTACCGTGAATGAGTTGAGGATAGTTCCAGAAGCGGATCTCGAAATATGATGAGGCTGAACGGAGCTGTAGCGTTGACGTGTCTTCCGTATGATGCACAAGGCCACGATGAGCCACCACACGGCTGCCGAACCCGATCAGCGGACGCGAGTCGGATTTGTTTCTGTTATGATCGAGACTTTTGCAATCGATCTGCAACGAATCACTGTTCATTCAATGCCTTCACGTTCCAGTTTCCTTTTTTATGCTCCATTTTAATGATGCATTATTTTTGATGATTTTATTCCATACATTGAGTTTGCGATAGCGAATTTCGACGGAATGTCTGCGTTAAAGTGAGGATAATTGTCATTTTATCATAGGATTGATCTCATACTTGTTTGCTTATGAATGTATTCACTCATCGATAAACAGTATCATAAACCGAATCAGTCCTATCATTTATTCATTCCACCATCCCACTGAAATGGGGATATAATCACTTCTAAAATGTTAGACATCTCTTAAAGTAAATAGCGTTTGAAAATACTCGATATATGATATTATAACGAATGAAGCATTTAGTGGTAGTTTTTCTTATTTGAAAAGTTTACAAAGTATCAAATTATATTCTCGATTGACTGGAAATATTCACTAAGATATAATGTTTGACTTAAGCAAGTA